GTTTTCTTATGCAAAAGTTAGCCCAAGCACTTTCTCTTCCATGCAGTGGATGTGCAGGTATTTTTCCCCCTAAAAATGAAACTGGAGGCTAAAGCCATCCAGTGACAGCATTTCTTTTGCTTTGTTGTGACAGGCAAGTGAAAATCGGAAGCTCCTGAACGCTCTGAAGGGTTTGTTGGATGACTTCCGCTCGGAGCTGCGGGATGAGGAGCGTGAGCGGCAGGGTCTCCAGCAGCAGTACGCCCTGCACAAGGCAGCCTGGGAGGTGGAAATGACTGAACTGAAGTGCCACCTCGAACAGGTAATGTCCCCTGAATCCAACACCGGTAAAGAATGGCTGAGGTGCTTAATCTGTGACAGACAGGAAAGGTACTATATTTGTCCATTTTACCCTGGTGCCTGAAAGCCCCTCTGAAGCCTGAGCAAAGTTTTGCCTCTTGAGTTGCCTCTTGGATTCCAGTTGTCCCAGTACGAGTGCTCGCGTAGTATGTGCTATGTAATGTAGGTGAGGACAAAGGAAGTGAACCTCTTCTTGCTATGTTTTCTCAGAACAGTTGGCTGTTAACGGATCAGCTGCGATAACGAGACATGCGGGTGTCTATTTATTGGCATTTATAGGAGAGAAAACATCTTGGTGTTGGCATGCTCACAATTAGCTCATCACTGTGCCTTGGCATGTGATAACTGCAGTATTTGATACATAGGGGAGAAAAGAGTAATTTACTAACACTGAAGTGTTAGATCAAGATGTTAATATTAAACCAGCTTTTCAAAGCTACTGGTAAGTGATGGATGGTACCCCACTGAAGAGAGAGCTCTAGCTACCCATCATGGGATACTGTTAGAAGTATGGATAGAAAATCTGGTGCCAGGTGCATCAGTGTCATGTATGGATGCTCACAGATGTTGTGCTGTTCCTGAAGCAATATGAAAACAAATCAGCAAAAACCCACAAGAATTAATTTCCAAAGCTGATGGCATAAAACTCTAATTTTCCACGTTCAAGAGGGAAGGGGTGGGAGAATTAGTACGATCAGATACTGAGAAAAAGATATTTGTAGAGCTTGAAGACAACTATAATAAAAAGTATTCACTGCCGGGAGGGTGACACATTTAGGAGGATTTACTGAACGTCAGAGACTTGCTGTGACGCACAGAGCTGAGACGCAAGTGCTGCTTTTCCTGCCCAGGTACTGTGGGCTGCTTTCCCAGAATGGAGAGGCTTGCATTTTAGCAGAGTTTTCTCTCAACAGATTTGGATTCTCAATTCAGCTGCTTCTTAGTGCACACACATCTCCAGACAACAGATCACCTGAAAAAGGAAACAAAATCAATTCCCATTTTCGCTCCTCCCAAAATAAAACCTCGGTGACAGATTTACCTTAAGCTCAAGATGGCAACAAAGAACAACACTTAGAGAAAGTTAGTCTGACGACTAGAACTGCCAGTTTAGAGCTTGTATGGCTTGCCTTTGCCTGGGCGATAAACTCCCAGGCTGTTGCTTTGGCTGCTGTTTGGCAGCAGGATGATGCTGCCATTCCTGCCCAGGGAGAATATAGATTTGCATCCTTCCTTCTGGTGGCTTTGTCAGGCTCTTTGCTACCTCCACTGGTAATAATGTGTAACATATAGTAATTATCGAGCCGTGGATGTTACTTTTTACATTTTTTCCAGCAAACGAAAAGGATGAAACTGGTCAATATTTAAGACATAAAACTGTCTTTATTAGCTGGTTTGCTAAACTACATTTCTATTTCACAGTAAAATCAGATCCCTAATGCAGTAGCAAAAAGATAGCACAGAAATCGTTAGAATGTCAGTTAGGATAGGGCAAACAATGCAAGTGGCCCACTCAGGTCTGATGTATGTGCTCACAATTACAAGGAGGCAATTAAAAAAACAAATATAAAAAAAATAATATAAAAAGCTGGAAATAGAAATAACATAAAGTTAACTCATACTAATGTTAAGGATTCAAAATATGGGGTGTTTTTGTTGTAGGTGCAATTTCAGGATTGCAATGGGAGGAGCTAATGAACAACATGTGAAATACCAGCATTACATATAGTCGTGTCAACATTTTTTGCTATTCTGTAACAATATGCGGCCTCACAACAGCTTTAACTAAATAGTCAAGCCTGTCATGTCATTGTGGGTAGGAGAACCTCTCATGATGTCATTTTGTTGATTTAATTGGTAGTGATGAAGCAGCAGGCTGTATAGCACTCCCACCCTAAGGGGGGTATAGAGCTGCCAAACCCTTGACGAGCCTGTAGTGAATCAAGGCCTTTCTGGTCTCCACTGTTGTCTTCACTGCTGCTGTTTTCCACTTTTTTTTGTGAAGCAGTAGGTCAATTAAAAAGAGTATTTTCCTCAAGAGAGTTAGCTCCTAATTAATCGTCACTGGCAGTGCTTTTTCATTTTGATGCTTCAACTCTGTATAGGAAAGAAACAAAAAAAGGAAAGAAAACTCTTTTGATACAAAAGCACTGCATATCCTATGTGACAGTGTACTGTTGCCTGCTGCTTTGGAGCTTTAGCAGTGCATATATCATTAAAAATAAAAATCTTGGCTGTCAGAAGTGCATGTACATCTTATTTGGCAGAAGGATCCTTAGGCATTGTTTTTAAGATGAAAAATAAAGAGATTGCTCCCAAATATGGGATTGCAATAACCCTGAGCCAACAAGGAGTCCCAGTAATTCTCAGCTTCCAGCTGGGCAAGTGAAAAATCCCACTATTCTGGCAACTGGGAACTGAGAAAAGTTTGGGAGAAGGAGGGAGTTAGTATGAGGGGCGAAACCCTGTGTACGCATTGAGAACTTGTACATAAGGACACGGACCCTCGCTGTGACTCTGACCAATGATCCAGTTTCAGGTTGCCTGGGGGCAATATAAGCTGTGGTTCACATGGAGAGGCATCTGGCCACCCATAGCGGTTAGAATGTTTGGGAAAGTCACATCTAAACTTTCATGCTAAAGAGCCACCAATGGGCCTTTCCACCATGACTGGAGCTGTTTTGTCAAAATAGAGGCAGAAGGATTCTCTCTTTGCCAAGGGCATTGTTCTGCCTTCCAGAGGCACCAAGAACTGTCTTCTGAGTCTAAAGACACCACCTCTGACTGGAGAAGGTTTTAGGTCCCAAATCACTGAACACCAGGAAATTAGTATATCACTGTATACTTGCCTTGTTTTTGAACTCATCTTTGTACTTACAGACTTTCTGTGTTCTTCTGAAATGGGGCAAGAGCCAGGGCTCTGGTCTGGATGAGCCCATGGTCCAGCACAGGATGACTTACTGTATTTTGGCAGCTTGGGCAAGGCATTCTGACAGCAGCCATGCATTCTCGGGGTATCGCTCTTCTGGAGCACATTCTTTCTCCCAGCTGCCTCTCTCAGCTTTTCTGTCCTTCGCAAGTGGCATGGCCTAGGCACCACCATCTGTCTTGTTTGCTAGCTGAAAGGCTGGGAATTTACCCGGTAGTGGTGAAGAACTCCCTGGTATAAGGTGAGAGATAGCATGAGTCTTGTTGAGGTTCAACATTGTGCTATTTCTTTGAGGTTCAAAAAAATGGGAGAAGGAATTTGCTTTATAGGATAATCATACAAACGGTATTTATTGCAGCTGAGCATTTGTTTGCTGTATAGGCTGCTTTTAGCATTTTCATGCTTCATATCAGCTAAAGAATTCATTGTCAGACACAGGCTTTTACCACAGAAAGTTTAATGTCCTAGTAATGTTTTATTTTAATGCCAGCTCGAAGGGAAGAGTGAGAACAACTCAGGAGAAACAGGCCTTGCTTTTGCTGGCTGAGAGCCATGGTGTGGTGATGGACCTCCGCTGGCAAATCCAGCACAGTGAGAAGAACTGGAACCGGGAAAAGGTGGAGCTCCTGGACAGGCTTGACAGAGACCGGCGAGAATGGGAACGTCAAAAGAAGGAGCTGCTCAGGCGGATAGAGCAGGTAAGGAGTCATCCTGGGATGAGCAATGGCTGCCTGCAAGCACGAGGGGTTGCACCATCACTGCAGTCAGGCCAAGGTCGAGAGACTGTATTAAGAAGCAACACAGGAACAGTTTTGGTTCCGTGGCTACATCAGTGTTTCTCATGCTACAAACCAATTTACATACACAAGGGAGCAAAAGGAAAATGCTCATAATCCCTATAAAAAAACCACTTATGAGAAACCAACTCCAGGTTAAAGGCCATTTCCTGCCTCATTTCAATTACACCGGACAGGCATAGTCACATCGATTCATTCTGTTTGAAAGCTTTTGTGCATCTCTTCGTGCTGAAGCGCTCAATCCCACAGGTCGGGTTATTCAAGGTTTGATATACAGCTTCCTGCCAAAAAGGTCTGTTCATCTGTGAATGAGCCACCAGAGAGGCAGCTGCTGCATCGATTCAGTCTCAACTGAATTCTTTTTCTCTAGCAAAGGAACCCAGGGGTTTACATGAAGAGCCCTGACTGATAACAAATAAGCAATTATCAATACCAAATATTGAGAAGAGGCTTCTGACCTTGGTCACGTGAATTTTGTGCACACCTCTGCTATCATGTGCAAACCTCATAACTGCGTACTTGTCCCCTTGTTTTTTGTGCCTATCTCTACTTTCCTCTGCTTAGTATTAGAGACAAATTATACTAATGAATTTATTATCTGGCTGGAAGCCACACACACAAAAAAAGTTTAATGAGGGAGAGTTAATACACCATTTTTGACTGAACCTTGTTCCGCTCTGAGTCATGCATTCCAGGAGAAGTAAGAAAAACAACTGAAATTGTGGGTCCTCAATTACCTGAATACTTTCTGTCCTTAGGACATCAGAAATGGAACGGCACCGGATTTGTGCATGCTCTCTAGCGAGCATTGTGCTTGAATGAAGCACAAAGTAGCTTCACAGGTTAAGCTAGTAAAAGCCCCGTGTAACTTCCACACCAATTTTTGAAAAGGGTTCGTTATCTGCATCTTGTGTTCCCATGCCTGGGCTGCAACAAGAAGTGAAAGAAAAGACACCAGGCTGTAAATATTATTAATGCAAGACTAAACCTCAGTTTAAACTATGGCTGTTAAGCCCACAGGGAAGGGCTGAGGAAAATCCTGTTCTCTACAGATATTTCTAAAATCACCGAGAAAAGTGTAGGTCTGAGTGGGCGGTGACCAATATTAAGGTTTTACATACCAAGAAAGGTGATTTTTTGTCTTCTTAATTTAAAAATACCATTAAAAGATATTCTGGATTTTTTTAACCTCCCATTTATCTGAGGGTTTTTTTGTATACTTCATGCCGCTTGTTGAGCTAGCTCTTATAAGGCAGCCCAATAGTATGTCTCTTAAGATATAACAACCAACACTTATGAGCTAGGAAGGCTTGCCGCAGACCTCTTCATCCAAATTACCTGTTTTCCAGGGTTTAGTGGCAGAAGGTGCCGAGTACTCCATGGCTTGACTGAGCTGGTTTCTAACTGTTGAGTTTCAGTAGCCAAACTTCCTCCTGTGGATTCTTCACACACAATGGGAATGAAATATAACCCTCAGAAAATTTCCCAGTATCCTAAGGATGCGGACACAAACTTCCTTGGAGAATCCCTGGTACCTCTTTGCATGTTTATGCTGCTGTCCCTATGAACTGTATTTTTCAATATTGTCTCTTCAGTGTATCGTGAATAGCTTGAGGGACTTAACCTGGATAAAGACTGGTTCTTCTGTTCCCTGGGAATGGTGGACATTGAAGGAAGCAACAGAGAAATCCCTGTTAATGTTACCTAGCCTTTAATTCTCTTTAAACCTGACATAACCGCTCAGTGTCATCTTGGGAGAGCCTACAAAATAGCTCTTAACTAGTCCTGGAGCTGATTTCTTTTGTTACTATTCTGAAATCTCTAGGCTTCAACTATATATTTACTGTACAACAGAGTTGTACACAGAATTAGCAATAGATAGGGGAAATAAAAAAATATTCTGTCAAGCTATTTTCAGAGGACTAGATGATCAGAAATAGCATGTGAAATCTTGACTACCTGCCTGCAAAACTTCTTACCTCCATCTTTGCTTATAATCGAACATTTCCCTGTGTGACAGGAAGCTTCCAAATATTTTCAGGCTTTTAGCTGAATGTCCTCTCAGATTGCAGTCAGGCCCTGCTTTATATGGAAACAATTAGTATATCTCTGAAGTCCTTCTCCCCAGGGTTTTTCTGTGTGTATTCCATGTATGGCAATACATAGAGGATGAGAAGACTACACCAGTGAGTATGTTTGAAAAACAGGGTCAGATAGATAGCAGGAGCGTGTGTGCCAAATTTCATACCAATGCTTTATGCCTGTCTGCTTTCACACAGATCCTGAATAATACATGTATGACAAGGGGGAAGCTCACACCACCATATAAAATATATAAAATACTCTGGATGGTTATGGGAATACTGCTCACATATAAAAAACATGATGACCTACTGTTTTTCAGAGTTCAAAGTTATGGGGTTTTTTAAGTACACTGTCGCTTTGTTTTCCCCTAGAGAATCTCCTTCCACTGTGCTCCTAAAGCTAATTTTGCACAGAGCGCATTGGCAAATATTTAAACCCACAAAATCACCTGTATGTAAAGTTATGTATTTAAAGGTATGAACACGTGAGGACTCAGAATCATTAGTCACTCTTGAAAAGTCAGGCCAGTGTTTCTCACTTTAATTCTCCTGTCAGCTGTCTGAGATTCAGAGAGTGAGTCAGTATCTGTACTGTTTTCTCATAAAGGTTCCCCAATCATTATCCTTATAGGATCTCTGAATATCCAGAAGTGCTTGCAATTGGAACTATATATGCAGAAAATATGTGATTACCATTTCTCCTTGCTTTGGGTCTTGCCCATATGCCAGGGAATGGACTCCAGGATCTCTTGAGATATACATTCCAGCCCCTACCTTAATAGGATACCTTAACCTATCTCCTTTTAATAAGACTGTTTCAGAATTTGTGTCTCATGAGCAAAATACTGAAGATGCATTCCTCTTTTTGTAGACCTGAATCAGGAAAAAATCTCACTAATTTCAGCCCAAGTGCAAATTTAATCATTTGGGACCTAAAACATTTTGATCTACGTTAGGCAATACAATGTCTGTTTATGTTTCCAAACACAGGCAACAAGATTAAAATAATATGTTTTGTAGATCCTCCGTCTCCAGGGTCCTAGGGAATGACTTGTATTTGCAGGTTATTGTTACTAATCC